CCACTGTAACATTACACTCCATGCTATCATCAAATCTCAGTTATTGTACCCACACTACTATCAGTCCCTAATAGAGCATTTTTATATTAGATGGCAGGCATCACTAGAGATTCTGGGCTCCTTGGAAATCACGTGCCAGGTTTACAAACACCTGTCAGAGTTGGGAAATATAAAACCTATATTTCCAACATATTAATTAGCTTTTTTGCCTTGAACTCATTGTCCTATTGTGTTCACTCCAAAAGAAATTGCAACTGACAGTCCTATTTCTCCTGCTTCACCCATATCAGTCATTTTTTATGGAGTTGGCAGGGCTGATAATCTGGTCATCAAGTCGATGGTTTGTGATGAAGTCAGATTATGTCAGATTGTTGTTGGAAAATCATTAAATGACAAGTATGATCACAACAGTATGCAGCCTGCAGCATAGCCTGTGATCACATCGGGGTGATTTGAAAATTCAAATCTGAATTTGTACCATTGTTCATGCTTCTGCAGACCCAGAGAAAGAATTTTTCATGTACTCTATAATCAAAGAAGTACAGGGATGAAAGTTGGGCTTTATTCGGATCTGAACACTGATGCTAATAGTAGCAATCAAAAAGTAATTTAATGCATTGAACAAAGTCTTTTTTTTTCAGTTCAACAGTCACTCATTCTCATCTCTTCTGGGACAAGTGACTGGATTAAAACATTGCAAAATATTTGCATGAAAAACTGGCACTTCATTAAAGTTTCCATTGCCTTTCCCCCAGTGAATAGTTCCTAGGCCTCATTCTGATGTTTTTTTTTCTTAAAGTAGGTCTGTTTTTGTCAGAACATTTAGTAAATTACATTATTTTATAATTCCCTTGCAGCCTTTGTAGCATGTTCATGTTTTGCACATTACTAGAATAAAACATTTTCTTCAATATCGTAAGAGGGGGAAAAAAGTTTTTGTACACACAATTCTTTACATCTGTCTTAACACAAAGAAAATTAATGATTGGTTAGTATTTAAATTATTTATTTATTTGGTTAGTCATTCATTCATTCATTTCAAATTTCACATGACTTTTTTCACATTTTATTTGTTCACATTTTACAACCTGAACTAACTTTGCTGAAAAGATAAAATTATCTGTTATTTTTTCAGACTTTGTCACGCAAGGTCTGCATGTCTGCTTTATAATATAATTCCTTGCATTCTTTGCATTTTTTCCTGAATTTTTATAATATTAATAAGCAGTCAAGTCACCTTTATTTGTATAGTGCTTTATACAATGCTGGTTGTGTCAAAGCAACTTTACAGTGTCAAACAGGAAAATACGTTGTCAATAATGCAAGAAGACAATAACAGTCATTTTTCCAGCTAAAGTCAGTTCATTGATGTTTCAGTGATGTCATTATCCAGGTCAGCTCTCTTCCAGTAGTGTCTGTGCAATCAGTCAAGCAGTACTCAGTCAAGTAAAGCAGTTTTAGTCCTGTGATAGACTGGCCATTTGTCCAGGATGTTTTCCCCAGCTCTAGTCTAAGACTTCAGGGATAGGCTCCAGCATCCTCACCCAGAAAAGTGGTTTTGAGAATGGGTAGAAGAATGAATGAAGCTATTTTTACTTTTTTTGTTGTTTTTTTTTAATCCAGTATCCAAAATGCATAACTAGGATTCCCTTTAAAGAATTCAATGTATTATTTTAATGATTTTTTTTTCTTATGATATCTGGACAATTGTTTGACCCTGACATTGTCATTTTGAAAATATAAAATACATTTTAATTCAAGCATAACAATCATGCTAATCATAGAAGGGGTGTATTCAAGTTCTACGTTGTCAAAGACTAATTATTTATTTATTATAAATTATAATGTAACTATTTTAGCCTAACTAACAACTGCCAGCACACCTAAACGAGGTACAAAAAAGGTGTCCCTTTGAGCCATGTGGTGGATATTCTGTGAACAAGTCAGGTGGTAAGGGTTATTCTGGGTGGCTTCCTACTGTCTACCTACTGTAGATTTTAAACACACATCTTTCCTATGCCTGTTGGGAAGGCTTTAAATGTGTGTCTGGTAGATTTAAATGTTTCTAGGTAGTCAGATAGTTCTCATTATCTCACAGCCAAAGCTCATTAACCGTAATCAAGGTAAAGAAAATTCAGATTTCGACTTTGGGCTTTATCCACTCCTCTTCTTGTCAGTCAGTTGGTTTGTGCAGTGTTTTCAGGTGATTATATGTATAATCAACTGAAGTATGTGTTTAAAAAAAACTAATCACTATAATCTTCTTTGTCCTGTAATGCTCAGTTTATGGTGGATTAGATCAGTGTTTCCCAACCACTGTGCTCAGGTGTTGTCAGCTGTGCTGTGGAAAATTATCAAAACATTCTATCTCTATTATATTTTGTTTTTATTATTATTTTAAATCAATGCTATTGGTCATATTTACGTCCATTTGTGGGTTTTACAAAAATACCCATATAGCAATAATAAACTTTATAACCTGTAAGAAAATTGAATGCGATGCTCTCACTGCCTCAGAAGCGACTGTTCTAATGATGGACAAAACACATATTACCGTCATTCACTGGTCAAAAACATTGTAAGTGTCTGATCATATTTAAAGCCACAATACCAACTCTGACAACGCTGTTTAATTATTTAAAAAAAAATGTTTTTACATTTCCTGAAAGTGGTAGTTATTTTGGACGTACATTGTTTCCGCCAGACCGCGACGATATGTAAATTTGTTGTTTTATTATTACCAACAACATAAAGCTACCTATGACCTTGTGTTCCTACCTGGCTTAAGCTCAAGTTTCACATTAAATTTGAGTACTACTTTTAATATAATATCCAGTTTTAATATGCCATTTGGAGCAATTGCATGTTTGCAAATCCATGGCCACCTCTTGGACACCAAAGAGTCATGATGCATATGACAGGTCATCTAGGCCAGGGGTTCCCAAACTTTTTTGTCAGCCGAACCCCTTAGATATAAATTATTGCAAATGTGTAAATAAATAAACCAAGTGCACATTGCGTTCTCAAATGCTTGTTAAATTCACAGGATTGTGAGACTATGCAGCCTTTGATTTGATAATCGTACTAAGATATATCGTGATTAGCATTTAGCCCTATTGATTTACTTATTTATTGTACATTCAATATAATTAATTATTAGCTTTTCATCAACTTATCAACCCCCATTTGAGAAACTTGGATCTAGGCCATTACTGATGACAATACTTGAACTTTGTAATTTGTCCTGTCTGCAACTTAGATGATGTGGAGAAAGCACAATAATTTCAGAAGGCATGGGGCTTTCATACTAGATTTGAATTGCTATTTTGATTTTAGTGAAATTTTAATGGCCTTATTGGGTCATTATTATGATTTCCGGAGCAACATAGATGCAAGTGTTAAATGTTGTAGTAAGCCATTATAGCTAATTATATTTAACCATCCATGAAATATTCATGCATTTTTAATAATGGATGCTTTTCTGAAGTGAGGGAGTATCTTTAATGTTTGGCTATGGTCAGGTGTCTGAAATAAAACTCATCTTACATTATGTCTGAGGCCCTGTTGGATTAGACCTTGGACTCTCCTTTTATCTTCACAATGTGTTGGGAACAATGTAAGCAACAATATTAAAACTGATCAATGATGAGGATTTAAAGCAAACAAAACCCTCTTTATCCTCTGTAGGATGAATTCTCTACGTTTGTAAAATAGCCTATCTGGAAAAAAATCAGAATAGTGACGTATTAAAGCAAAATGCCTTTGTTTTTGAGGGAGACAAAAAATGTGCCACAAGCTTGAATATGTCACAACTCTGACTTTTTTCCAGAAATTTTACAGGTAAGGTAAACACTATGACAAAATGTATCATATTATATGTGACATTATATAATATGCCATATGGTGTCATTATTTTGTCCTGATTCCCTGCTTAGTTCAGTCATTAATATCCGTATTATAAATTTTCATGACACATGTATAGCCAAGGTTATATGGTCTACTGTAATTATGTCCAAATGACTAAATGGCATGGATTTCAAGCTAATTTTGTAGTTCTCGCATAGTCCCAATTTAATCTATCTCAAAAGTACAAAAAAAAAAGAAAGAAAGTAATCCTTAGTCAATAGAAGATTATAAAAATATATGCTGACTCCATTTTTATAATAAATATAATCATAATAATAATTATGCAATTTACTCACACTCATCATCTTCTAAACCTGCATGATTTTCATTTAGGTTTAGCAGAATGTTGAAAATGAATGGCGACCAAAGGCTGTCAAGCTCCATAAAATAACAAAAACATCATAAAAGTTGCTGTTGATAATATCAGGTAATATTAGTCCGTTGGAGGCAGCCTCCATGTTTTCCGTCAGGATGTCAGTGTTTGTTTTTAATGACATAACTAAGATGATGTCTGGCTTGACTAATATTTGCCTCGAGTTTATAATTAAATAGAAACATATGAAAATATTTCAAGAGAAATGTCTTGTTTTTTGTCTCCAAAAAGACTGAATAGTAGAATTCAGCATTTTGACCTTAACACACAGACTATACCAGATGCATTTGCTGATATGGTGCCCCTCTGCAACTTGAGGCTGTTCAACACTGAACGCGTCACATTCCAACCTTCCAGCAAATGTTCCAAATCTGTTTGTCATGTTTTTGGAAGCAGTGATATACCACTTCGCTCACATTTGGTGTAAACTGGGTGCAATTCACACAATTATAAAGGCCAGTGTAACTGCATGACTTCACGTCTCTTATGGCTTAGTTAATCGTCCATGGAATCTATACCATTCTGACCCAGATTAATTTAATTTTGAACATTCTGAATTGTTAAATCTCATGAATCCTTTAAAGAAAAATTCCTTTCATGTGAAAGAGGCATAGAGAATGTTTAGTTGTGCTTCGGTCTCCTGTTCTGCCTTTTGGGTTTTCTCAGACTCAATCTCCTGACCTATTCTCTCTCTTTCTTTTGAATTATTTGATCTGTGTAGGACCCTAGGAGCAAGCACAAATTTAAGATCCACACCTATGGCAGTCCCACATTCTGTGACCACTGTGGATCTCTTCTATATGGACTCATACACCAAGGAATGAAATGTGACTGTAAGTAGTACCATACTAAACTATTTTTTGCCCAGGGGCGGTTCTAGGGTCACTGGTTGTTTGGGACTTTTCTATGTCGATGTTTAGTATATGGAGTAATTATATGATTAACTATTGGAATATTATATGTTAATATTATGTTAAAATATTATGAGCAAGGTATTATTTTCATTAAGTAAATCTGAAAACAGGGACCTCTTGCTTTATGCAAATGTGTGTTTGTGTTCACAGCCTGTGATACGAATGTCCATAAGCAGTGTGTGATGAACGTGCCAAGCCTTTGTGGAATGGACCACACAGAGAGACGAGGACGTCTTTACTTGAAGATCGAGGTGATAGAAGAAAAAATGCATGTCACAGGTGAGTTTCCGTGTTTTACCATGACAAATGATGCAACAGTGCAAAACATATCAATGCTGTTGCATATTTATTTCCCAAGGTTCTTCAGGGTTCTGTATTTGGTTCACTGCTCTTTATTAGATATACTTGGTCATATCTTTCACCAGCCTACCCTCAATTTTTAGGGCTATGCTGATTGTAATAAACTGCTCGGAAGGATCCAAATGCAGTAGTATATTGGAGGGGTAATCCACAAACGTAATCCAAAGGCAGGCAAAGGTCATACACAAATAGGTAGTGATGGACGCGTTCGAAACACTGCTTCACGAAGCTTCTAAACATTTGCGAATCTTTTGTTTTGAATCAGTGTTTCGGAGCGCGTATCAAACCAGCCAGGTCACGTGATTTTAGCAAACGAAGCTTCTTTACGTCACACTGTTTCGAAATGTTTCGAAACTCCGATGGTTCACCACTAGGGGGTGTTGATCTCAAAGTGAACCCATGAACCACTTCTGGTTGCCCAGTTAATCATGTGACATTAAATTTTACTATAAAAAAATAAAGAATTCAGGGCCAGATGTTGTGGGTTAAACAAAGGATGACTTCCCTTTAACACAGATGGACATATAGTTTAAAAAAATGTGTAAAAACATTCAGTACTTTCAACCTACAAATCACATCATACCTTAAAAATAACAAAATGAGCTTACGATAGAATTAAATCCACCTCCTTCTCCTGACTGATAACACTACTCTTGCCTGATAGTTTTTATAGACAGCTCTAATGAAAACACTTAATTAAATAATTACATAAATCAATTAATTCATTAAATAATTAATTTAGTTAATTGTGTGTTAAGGGTTTGATTATACTTAAATAAAACACATAACACAAGCACTAATATTTAATAGTGTTTAAATGGTTATTATTTATTTTTTTAAATGGTATTTCTAAAAAAAAACATTTCCATTTGTTTTGTAAGTTTGTTCTGAGTTCTTGATGCTTTTACAACGTTTTCACCAGCAGGTGTCGCCAGCATGTGCTTTTTCAAGTGCTTTGAAACATCAAATAATTTTTCGAAGCAATTGGTTCAATTGATTCAATGCTTCAAAAAGCTTCGTTTCTCCCATCACTACAAATAGGCAATCCAAAACAACGACAGAGTAATGCCGAGTTCACACTGCACGATTTTCAAACTCGTCGGATCGCCGTTGTTTTCACACTGCGTGACTATCTGGGGTAGCATTCAGTTGCTGCTGTGTTCACATTGCACGATGGATCGGCGACAGGGGGTTTCACACTGCATGACTTCACGATAGGAAGAATCGCCGACAGCTCTGTCTGGTCCGCAAACTACGTTTCACAACAAAACACACGCGAGAACCGATGTCGGGCATTTGTCGGCGATTTCACAAAACCTGTCGGCGAGTGAAAAATCGGGCTAATATCGTGCAGTGTGAACTCGGCATAAGGGGTTAAGGCAAACAGTGTAATCCAGAAAACAGGCAGAATAACAAGACCAGGAACCAAGATATAGAAGAACCAGGATACAAGGATTAGAATTGCAGTAATGACACATACACAACTTTGCAAAGAATGACTGTGAGAACTGAGCTTATATAGGGTGAGCTAACCATGCTAATGAGACACAGGTGCAAACAATGAGTGCTGATGAGACCAGGCAGAGGATTATGGGGAATGAAGTAGGGCTGGGCCAGAATATTCGATTATTCGGTTGGCATTCGATTTTCAATTTTGAGATTCGAATATTCTTTTCTTTCTTTTTTTTACACCTGTCATCCTCCGCAAAACGGTTCTCATTCGCACTTGAATATGAATCGCCCATGAGTGATCGTCATGATTCAGTTCATCTGGAAGAGAAGACAAAAATGCCGAAGACCTCAGCTGTGTGGGAGCACTTTAAATTGAGTGAGGACAAGACAAAGGCAGTGTGCCAAATATGCGATTTGAAACTGGCCTACCACAACAGCACATCAAGTTTGAAAAATCACCTGAGTTCTGTAAGTAGTACGCCTATAGTATATTGTTGGTGTAAGAAAATGAGCTGCTTTTATCCGCCATGTTAATCAGTAATTTTACACATGATAAAAACGTGCACTTAATTTGCTTGGAAAATACTTTGACAAATACTGCCTGGAATTTGTCACGCCACGCCGCACGCCGCGCCGCATCCAGTGTAGACAGCATCCTATAGGTTCTATTGTATTTTGTCGCGGCGCGGCGTTCGGTGTAGACACGTGTATGTCATAATTTTACACGTGATAAAAACGTGCACTTAATTTGCTTGGAAAATACTTGCGAATACGGCAGTCATAAAAAAAACGTACAGTAGCCCAGCCTAATAATAATTAGTCTATATTAAAAGTATTGCTCTTAACAGACCTGTGTGTTTTGTATCACTAGTGCAGTGTCCGTTCTCGGAGAATATAAGCCCTGCCCGCGTGAGGCGCGCCGCTTCCGGCTCGCACTGTTCTGTAGTTTATTAAAAGTTTATTAATTCTGAAAGTGTCGCGTGTCCATATTGCACCAAAATCCGACACTGCACTCCCTTGGGTCCGCAGCAACACACCTGCCACGCGTGAAGTCGATTTGGATGAACGGTTCTCGACATAATAAAAATGCAAACAGACAGACAGACACACAGAGATTCCTGTCTTTATTACAGGTCACGCCGCGCCGCAACAGCTAAAGTTTGTCTATACTGGACGCGACAAAGCAACTGTTGAGAATCATTTGAAATTTGTGTCAGTACGTCATAAATAGAACGCAGCAGCAGTTTACTGCCGGGAATTTGTCACGCCACGCCACGCCACGCCGCGCCGCATCCAGTGTATACAGCATCCTATAGGTTCTATTGTATTTTGTCGCGGCGCGGCGTTCGGTGTAGACATGTGTTGAAAGAAGAATATGTTCAGCCCCCTCCCTCCGAAGCTTCGAATATTCGGTGTTGATTATTACCGAAGCTTCGAAGCTCAAAAAATGGTATTCGGACCAGCCCTAGAATGAAGTCCTTGATAGAGTGGCAAAGGTATGGTTTGGAGTGCCCTCTAGTGGTGGCTATCAAGAGCACTCCAGCTGGTGATTGTGACTCGGTCCAAGCGTTTTAATATGCTTTCCTACCTGCCTGTCAACGTATGTATTAGCATACCTCTGCGCACCCTGTTCGCGCAGACAGGATACGTCATCAGCGCGTTCACGCACGCTGTGCAGACAGAGCGAGGATGGCAGGCAAACATCAACAACCCGATCTTCCTTCCTGGTATTGTAGTACTTTTAAAGATTTCTCACCGGTGAATGACACATGATGTAGCCCAGCGGTTAATCCAGTCCTCGCGCCAGCTCGTTAGAAGTGAGCTACGTGCATGAACTGTGTTCCGATCGATATGATCCCTACACAGTGTTCATTGCTCCTTACTCCCTGAGCGGGGGAAATCCTTTTTTTTTTTTTTTTAAGTTTACTTCACTTCGGAACATGGGCTGGAATTGGGAACCGCTGATGTAGCCTATTGTGGTAATGTTGTCTCTGGTCTGTGAGCGTAAATGCGTTCGGGGGCGTGGCTTTGGACGGCGATTGCAGGGAGGGTGGGACGTTCGCTTTCAGTGCTATCAGGCTAAAGTTAGCATTTTCCAAGATCTCCTACTGCACCTTTAAGTTACTGGACATTAGTTCCAAACTCAATGCCCCCTCTCCCCTGCTCCTTAACTGTCTGCATTCACAATGTCAAGATTTGCATGACCAAATTCCTCAAAACCAGATAAAATGTATTGTTAGTCAAATGTCTTATAAATTGCTTCAGAAACTACCTGTATTTTATTTTTATTTTTTTTTATTTATTTTTTTTACCATGATCTGTCTAACAGTGTTGATTTTGTTCAAGTTGACATCTTTGGAATTCTCTGTCACAATCTCTCCATGACCTCTTCACCATTTGAATTCAAAACTCAACTTGAAAATGCATCTTTTTACATTGCGTTACTACGTTTTCTAAATCCTGTTGTACTTGTTCTGTCTCAGTACACTTGTATTATTTTGTTTGTGCTTGCTTTGCTTTCATTATACTTTGTGTTGTTTAGGGATGCACCAAAATTTGGGACATCATAAATAGAAAATATAGAGAAAAGCAAAACTCTTGGTCAAAAATATGTATAGAAACTAAATGAGCTGTAAGAGTTAAGATAAAAGAAACATTGACATGGAAAACAATCATATTTAATGTAAACATTAATTGTGCACACACAATATGACAGTACAAAAACTGTATTGGATATTTACTGTACATTTGTCACAAATGTGCTTGTACTTTATAATTCTCAACTGATTTTTTTTTTCTGCATATCATAATTATGTGTCAAAAAATAAAGATCATTAAAATTAAGTGTTAGCACTGACATGAATAATTATTTCCCCCCCTATATAGTCAATGTACAATATTTTATGTTTTATAATTGTGAAGTCACACCACTTGAAGGAATGTGGCGTAATCGCTTTAATTTAAATTTTAATTCATTCACATATAAATAAAACACATCATTAGAGGGTGGGAAAAATTATACAGGTTGCATGACCATTGTTTCAACAATTCTGAATTAAACAAAAAAAATTTACATATATATATATGTATATATATATA